GAGGGACAGCACAGGAGGGGAAGGCCCTCTATGAGGTGGATTGATTCAGTGACTGGGATAATCGGGATGGGAATGTCAGAGACAGTGTGATTGGCACAGGAGAGCAGAGTTTAGGGCTGTTGTACATAGGGTCTGTATGAGTCGCAAGCGACTCGACGGCACATAACAACAACAACAACTACCTATACCACTCAGAGAACTCAGGGCTGAAGTTTATTTTTGTTATTGTTCTTTGGATTTTTGTATATGTTCATAAACAATATCTCCTTTGTATGTGTCTACCTCACTGTTCCAGGACTTGCCCAGGAAGGTCTTTTTAGAGTGAATGGTAACGTGAAGGTGGTGCAACAACTTCGCCTGAAGTATGAGAGTGGCACACATGTGGAGCTTGGGAAAGATGGCGACGTTTGCTCAGTAGCCAGTCTGCTGAAGCTCTTCCTGAGGGAGCTGCCAGAAAGACTGATTCCATCAGAGCTACACCCTCAATTCCTTCAGCTTCTTCAGGGTTAGTACAGTCATTTCATTTTTTTGGTAAACACAAAGTTTTTTAAAAATATTTGTCGTCTTTCCATAACTATATTTTGATAGTTGATTTCATACCTTTATCTTTGACCCTAAAGTCATACTGAAATAGTTATGAACTATATTAATAAATGCAATTTTCAAGATTATTGGCATGTGAACACTTTAAAAATACATTATTGAAGAGACCTGATGCTTTGGGGCAAAAGAGATTTTTTTTTCCCCTGTTTACTATAATAAATTGAATATAGAAAAATATTAAATTGTATTTGCTTGGTGACTTTGAGACTGAAAGCTCACTGCTGTGCTTCCTTTTTCTTGTAAGTAATATGAGATTCTGAAATAATCGTGTTTCTTTTATAAGGTAAAAATGGATTTTTTTTTATTATAAAAAAGTGATTTAAGGGGGAAAAATCTACTATACAACCATAATAATAATCACTATTGAGTTCTTGCTCCTTAACAAAGTAAGAAAAATATTTGTTTTTAAAAGCCTTTACTTACTGTTGCAAAAAGAGCAAAGGCCATATGGAGATGGTTAATATCTGGCCTTTACGAACTTCACAAAGGGGAACTATCCCTGTCAACACCATCAACATAACAAACCTAATTCTCATGGAGTCAGACATGTCCCCCACTCTCCTATACCTCCTTCTCTTCATCTCAATACTAATCCTACTGATTTGTTGTTGTTATTAGCCATCAAGTCACATGCGACTCAAAGCAACCCTATGTACATTAGCTCTGAATCCTGCTCTGTCCTGAGCTAAATCTCATTATCTTCAACAGACCTAATCCTATTTCTCCAGTCGTTGAGTCAATCCTGGGTCTTACTTTCCTGTGCTATCCCTCCATCCATCCAAGCACGATGTCCCTTTCCAAGGACTCATCCCTCCTGTCCACATGCCCAGACTATGTCAGATGATGCTTCAAAATCCTTGCGTCCAGGGAGCAGCTTGGTTTCACCCTCTCTAGTACAGATCTGTTTGTTCTTCTGGCATTCTATTGTAGGTTCAGCACTCTTCTCCAGCACCACAACACAAAGGCATCAATCCTTCTTCCGTCATCCTTAGTTATTGTCAAGCTCTTGGATGCATAGCAAGTAACTGTGAAGACCATGGCCTGGATGAGGCACATCTTAGACATCTTACTACTTTATTGGATCCAAAATTCACTCCAATAGACCACACAGAACCCTTTTAAGGAAGTCAAAGGGCTATAATTGAGGTTGACAGCAAGGTACATTTAAGTTACTCAGTCAGGACGGCTTCTTCTGAAACGTGCTAACAGGCACCTCAGCTTTGAGCTTTAGGTCAGAGTTACAAAGCTCTCATGCTCATCAATTATGGCTTATTGTCCACCCCCACCCTTTGCCCAAGTCCTCCAACAAATTTGAGAAAAAGCTCTTAACTCTGGTTCCTTGTAGGGCAGCAGTCCCAAAGTCCACCTTGTCTCATGTCAGATCTCTGGTTCTCTGCACTGCTGGTGTGGCTGCTGCTCCCATAGGCCCTGGTCTGGTTCGTGCAGGAATCTCTGGTCCTGAAGGACATGTTACATTCTCTGCTTTTTTTTTCCCTGGTGGGGAATATTGTCCAATTCTACTGCTGAATCTTCTCAATTTAGTGGCAAGACTAGCCAATGTCATTGTGGATTAGCCAATGTCCTTGTGAATAGGCTAACTTGCTCTATTCGCATATTCCTGTCCATCCACATTGCAAAGTCAGAAAATGACTAGAAAAGCTTGGGCAGCACAGTTGCAAAATTAGAGTGAAAAGCAGAAAAATATCTTTGTAAGAGTCATTGCCAGATTGAGGAAGTGATCATTTAAAACTATGTTCCTTCGCAATTACTTGCTATGCATCAAGGAGCTGGATAATGACTAAGATGATAGAAGAAGAATTGATGCCTTTGAGTTGCGGTGCTGGAGGAGTTTTGAACATACCATGGACTGCCAAGGAAACAAATAGGTCTGTCTGGGAGAGAGTGAAACCAAGTTTCTCCTTGGAGGCTAGGACTTTGAAGCTCTGTCTTACATACACTGGGTATGTGCTGGGAGGGACCAATCTTTGGAGAAAAACATCATGCTCAGAAGGGTGGAAAGATGTCACAGGAGAGGAAGATCCCAGATGAGATGGATTGATACAGTGAATAGGGCAATAGGCATAGGTGTGTCAGAGTCAATGAGATTGACTCAGGACAGGGCAGGCTTCAAAGCTAGTATACATAAGGTTGCTATGAGTTGCAATTGACTCAATGGCACATAACAACAATAACACTGAAGATTGAGTTAAGTGAGAAGTCCACATAGGATAAGCAAGATAGCTCCAGAAGTATTTGTACCCTATTCTAAAGATCATTTCAAACATTAGATAAAATGACTGGTAAGATTGTGTTGGAAAATACACTAACCACCTATCAAGCCATCCATCCATTAAGGAAGGAGATCCATGTGTAGCTTCTTAAGGCACAAATTCCAGCTCTGCTTCCTCACCTAGACCTCTTACCATCCTCCATAGCCTTCTGATTACCAAGTGATTTCCAAGCAGTCTTCTTGAAAGATGATCCACCTCTTGCTCCTTATTCAGAGTTAGCATGGAATTCTCAGGAAACTCATGAATATGTTTGCCATATTTGGAATTGGTGGCCAGATCTAGGGAAGAGTTGAGTCTTTTTGTACCTCCACACCAGGCAGCCCTAGCCAGCTTTAATATGTTACACTTTTGCAGATGTGAATCAAGTCTCAGTCCATATGACGTGCAGGAAGGAGTAGACACATTCTAAAAATTTTAAGTGCTTTTCTGATGTCCCTCTCACTTGATTTGGGAAAGGTAAAGGAAACATTATATCTGACAACTCTCTCTTTAAAGAAATCCTTACTTTATAATCCTTAACTTGAAATTTCATGCTTCTGCTTCAGTGATGTTGAGGTACATGATGATCCAAAGGTGGTCAGACCCATTTTGGGGGTTTCACCAGACCCCCCCTTAGTACTCTGGTAATTCTCTTTAAAATGGACAGAGTCATCACATTTTTGTGTGTGTTTTTGGGGCCTAAAAGTGATATAATGGGAAGAATTCTGTATTACCCATTTTTTAAAAGATCTGTTTTACTTATGATTTTATTTAGCAATCTCAATTTTTTTTACATAGGAAAAGTATAATGATAGAATAGTATGAAAAATGATTAGTAAGTTATAATCTACTGTTGTTGTTATGTGCCATCAAGCCAGTGACTAGTAGTGACTCCATGAACAGTGGCTCTGAAACTTGTCCTGAGCCAACCTCACTGTTTCCAACACATCTCACCCCATTGCCATAGTTTCTGTGGCATTTTGTCTCATCCAGAGTTGTCTTACCTATGAGGAGTACAAATTTGCTGAAGATAATTCAAGTATAGTTGTGGCAGTAGACAAATAAGTAACTGTCAGAAATTAGAGTCAAATTTTAAGAAAGATGTACAAAAAGAACAGTTTTCCTGATGCCAAGTGATTTTTGGCTGAAAACAGAATACCTGAAAGATGTTTACTCATATATTATTGATAATGCAAAGCATTTACTGAATAATATCATTACTATCACATGCAACAGCCTGCATTATGCAGATGACACAACCTTGTTTGCTGAAACTGAGGAGATCCGCAAGCATTTGGTGCAGAAGGTCAAGGACTGCAGCCTTCAGTATGGATTGAAGCTCAACATCAAGAAAACAAAGATTCTCACCACTGGACCATTAGCAACGTCATGATGGTCAGTGAAGAGACTGAGATTGTTAACAGCTTTAGTTTGCTTTGCTCCACAATCAACACTCTTGGTTCGTACCAGCAGCCAGGAAATCAAAAGATTAATTGCATTGGGAAAGCCTGCTGTCAAGGACATCTTGAGAGTCCTGAAGAACAAGGTTGTCAGTCTGAAGACTAAGGTGTACCTGATCCAGGCCATGGTCCTCACAATTATGTGCTATGCATCAGAAAGTTGGACAACCACTAGAGATGATAGAAGGAATATTGATATCTTTGAGCTGTGCTACTGGAGAAGAGTATTGAATATATCATGGACTGCTAGGAGAACAAACAGGTTCATCCTAGAGAGGGTGAGACCAGGCTGTTCCTTGGAGGTAAGGATTCTAAAGCTCCATCTGACATACTTTGGGCACGCCGGAAGGAGTGATCAGTCCTTGGAGAAGGGATTTATGCTTGGGAGGGTGGAGGGACAGTTCAGGAGGGGAAGACCCTCGATAAGATGGATTGACTCACTGACTGGAGTAATGAGGTAGGTGTGCCAGAGACAGCAAGGTTAGCTCAGGATCAATCAGGGTTCAAAACTGTTGTACTTAGGATCACTATGGGTCACAAGAACTTGACAGTACATACCAACAACAAAAACAATCATATGCAAGCAAAATATTACTGAGGATAATTTAAAAATGGCTTGTACATAGTCAGAGACTTTCAAGATGTTCAAACTGGATTTAGAAGAGGTTATGGCACTAGGGATATCATTGCTGATGTCAGACGGATCCTGGCCAAAAGTGAAGAATATCAGAAGAATACGTGTTTGGGCTTTATAGACAATGCAAGGACATTTGATTACATGGATCATAACAAATTATGACTAACATTGAGAAGAATGGGATTTTTCAGATCATTTCATTGTGCTCATGAAAAACCTATACCTAGACCAAGAGGCTGTTGTGTGAACAAAGTTGTTATGTTCTACTGAGTCGCTTACAACTCATAGTGACTCTGTGTACAATAGTCCTAAAAATTGCTCTCTCCTGTGCCAACTTTATTGTCTCTGACACACCTACCCACATTACCCCAATCACTGAATCAATCCATCTCATTGAGTATCTTTCTCCTTTATGCTGTCCCTCCACCATCCCAAGCATGATGTTCCTCTCCAAAGACTGGTCTCTCCTTGCAACGTGCCCAGAGTATATCAGATGAAGCCTCAGAACCCTTGCCTCCAAGGAGCAGACTGATTGCACCC